TCTCGGGATCAGGGGTTTCGGGACTTCAGGTTTCCAAGATCCAGAGTTTTCGGAACCGGGGTTTCCTGGATTCCGGGGTTTCGGGAACCAGGGTTTCCTGGATTCCGGGTTTTCGGGATTCAGGGTCGAGCACCCGAAAGCCCGAAGAAGTCTCCCTACAGGCTCTTCTTCCCCGTACTCCAATCCATGCCAGATGCCCCAAACTCGGAGTACTTTGAGCCCGCGTCGCGGATCGCTCCGATGACCTCGAAGGAAACACTTTTTTCCTGGATACTCCATGGGCTCCCGCCGATCGCAGAGATGGAAGATAGATAGGTCCCTCGCCGACCTAGTGTACAATCTACAGAGAGACATCCCCTCGAATCCCGTCAGAGATTCATATCATTCCCACAAGTGGTCCGAGCTGAAATTCACCCTTGTCGATACCAACCTATCGTAGATGCTATTGAAGGGTCCAATTCATGAGTGAACATTCAGTTCCACTTCATTAGGCTAGCGTTCCGAATGGGCCTGGGTTTCCGAAGTTCGCCCTTTCTAATTTCCGAACTTCTGGTTCGGAAACCTTGATTTTCGAAAATCTGATTCGGAAACCTTTATTTCCGAACTTTTGGGTCGGAAATTAGTTTTACGTCTAGAAAGGTCCGAAGACTTTTATCGGGAAGCTATTGGCCTCGGACACCCAATTTTCGGCTCCCCGAGAGCATTCCTGGAATTTTTTTACCGACTTATTTAGATTCACAGCAATCTGGTGAGATCGGAACGTGAAATTCCGATTCCGACTCGAGATCAGAATCAGTTGTCAGGAAACATGGATACATCCCCAGCCTATCTAAGAGGCAGGAATTCGATATACAATCTAGCCTTTGGGGAAACAGTCACACCGACAAAGACTGTCGACAAACAACTTGAAATCGTCCAAACAGCTTTCCTAGACGTCTCACTCCGACGACAACAAAGGGAGTCGAAAAGCCGCGATGAGGACATTATCGACAGACAATATTCCCTCGAAGTACCGGTGGAGAAAAAAACGTGACCGGATCGCTCGACTGAACGATATGAGACACCGTCTCGAGATCGAATCGTAGTGTTAAATCAACTTTTCCAAAACACTTCGTGATGCCCGCCCGGCTTTCGGAAACCGACGGCTCGAAACCGCTCACCGACGCACGTCGCTCGACGAGAAGACACAACGTATCTCCGACGGGGGCGACGGGTGCCAAAGAGTCGGCTACATTCAGCCGCCGCAGAGACCTGAGGGAGCGTTTCCACAGTTGGGGATCGATAGCGTAGATTCAGAAGTCAGTCTGGATCGGAAGAGCTTGTGCGTTGGAGGTCACCAAGAAAATGAGCTTCTTAGAGCCTCTCGGAGGTAAGGTCCCGAATCGCGTTTAGGTATTCTTCTCCGATCATAACCTCATCATAAGAGCAACCGCGACATTTCGCTCTAAATGAATCTAACCGCGCACCTACGGGACCTGCAAAATTTATGAAGCGTCCTCAATAATTACAAATCACATGATCCTGATGTACCACGTCTGGAATTTCACCAAATCTCCCCGATCGCCTTCTGGCCGGACTGTTGCGTGATGTCTGGATTTGATTGCCCTCGGAGGAAGGAGGGGACCCGGGAAGCTCGGTCCTGTCGTTCGGAAGGGCATCATCCTTCGCCGACACCGAGGATTCCGAGACATGCGGGACCCTTCTGACAGACTTATCGTTGGTCCCTCCAAAATCGAAGAAGAGGCATCGGAGTCGCGGTGCAGGTCGCCCGAAAATCGACAGAGGTGATTGTGAATGCATCTACGATCTAGCTCGGGCTCGAGAGTATAGGCCGATCTGGAAAGACCAACTCATTGAATATGCCATTTAAAGAAAATGATCCCACATGGAGACATTCCGAGGCAA